ATTTATTCAGTTTAGGCTGTTACAAGCACATATGAATGTCTAGAAGCTACGCCATTATATTTTGATACTCTGAATGACGTACTAAATACAATTTTATTTACTTAAGATGGATTAATTATCGGTATTAAAAATAAGCCCGTTGAATATTGCTGACCAAGACAGCCCAGCAATTTTAATCAGGTATTTTTAGTTTTTCCTTCTGCCGCGGTACCTATGTAAATAAATAATGAAACTAGTAGTAGACTGACAGACAGAAGCGCTAACATTGCACCAACCGGTAGTCAATGAATTATGAGTCTTGTTTACAAACTTTATGTTCCCTTTTACTCCGGGTCAGTACTTTCTATTAATAGACGGTCGTATTCCTACGGGACTCGTAAGTTAGGGGAGAGCCTGGCGAGAATATGTACGTAATGAGCATGGGTAACATCCGTTAAAGGTTGATATTGTGTTGAGTTACTAGCAGGTTTATTTTTAGATTGGCTTAAACTTGACAGCTACATAATGTGTGTTTATAGAGCAGTACCCTTAGCGCGAAACAATATCGAATTCGTATTGTTTGCGAGTCCGAAATGTCATTTTCAAATGTGTACTGATTTTTAGTTCTCGTTACGTACTTTGTGCCGCTGCTGTTCAAGTTTCCATACAAAATTTGACATTGACATTCAGCACTCGCAAACTATTCGAATTCGATAAAGGTTCCTGCTTGGGGTACAGTACCCTTAACATGAACCAATATCAAATTCGTACCGTTTGCGAGTACGAAATTTTAAGTTCTTGTTGCGTACTTTGTGGCGCTGCTGTTCAAGTTTCTATACAAAATGTGACATTGACATTTCGCACTCGCAAACTTTTCGAAGTCGATAATGGTTCATGCTAGGGGTACAGTAAGGTTTACCGCCCATAATAACTATTAACAGGAAATAACGAAAAAAAAAACTGGTAACTTTGTGTGTAATGGAAATCTACTACTATTTGCGTGGAAAAGTTATCTTACCTTAGTCTAGGACAGACTAGAGTGATTTCAGAAATTATTACAGAAGATGCGCTTAGAACCTCTAGAAAATGGTTTGCCCTTAAGTAATAACTCAAAGGTCTGCTTACAGTTTAAAGTTTACTTACTACTTTGGTAGTCAAAACAAATCAATATGTATTAAGTACGACGAATATATGTGTATTTAACGAGGTTGCACTCAATTTAATAATAATAATAATATTTCCAACACTCAAACCAATTAGCCTAGCCCCAAAGTAAGGCTTGAGTTACGGGATACTAGGGTAACGGATAGAATACAGTACATATATAAGTATATTTATATAGAAATACATATTAAGCATCCATGACTGGAGAACAAATGCTCGTATTCATCACACAAACAGCTGCCCCCTCTGGGATTCGAACCCGGGACCTCTCGAGTCGGCGACACCATGAGACCCGGCGTACAAACCACGCGGCTACGGAGGTCGTCAAAAATTTTAAGGAAGCATAGCCAGATATGAAAAGTTTATTTTTGCCAGACTTTATTCAGATGAATAAATAACTACTGGGTACCTGTAAGAATCCATAAATATTTTATCGGGTTTAAATGGTTGTATTCAATTAAAGAAATGATGATGTATTAAAATAACTATAGTCACGAATAGCGTGAATTGAAATAAAATAAACTACCTATGAAAAAAACGTTGCGTTTGCAAAGAAAACAAAAACGCACAAAAACAGATGTTAACAAAACGCTCAGTAAATCAAGTATGCGGTGCTTTTCCGCCAAAAATGCAAAAATTCAAATTGGGAACTTGGGACAGCTTTCGGCTTTCGTCTTGTAAATAATATTGTAGAGTATGCTTTACTGTTGTAATTTTTTTTATAATTATTTTCACAATCTAATGTAATACTTATAAATGTTCAGTTAAAAAAAATCATAGTTACAAAAAGCTTGTATCCCTCCCTGTAATCGGGTAAGTGTAAATGATTCTAACAAGCCTTTTTTGTGCATACTTAATAACCTACTTACTAAATTTTGAAAACTATAGGATAATGATAATGTTGTTATTTGATTGATTCTTTATTATGCATTGTTTGCGTGCGTTTTATTTTTATGTTAGCGATCAACCCAGCTACTTCACACTGATAGTTGTAGCACTATGGGCAGTTCTTTTATAATTTTTATTTTATTAAAACTTTAAAAAATATTAAAAATTTTGACTTATGGGTAGATTTTTAGTATCTACAAAGGAACCGTAAGGGTAACTTGAAATAACCTCCACAAAATTAATTAAAAGCAACACTACAATTTACTTACCTACTAAGCCAATGATGGACAGTTGACAGAGCATAAATTATTTTAACGAGAACACTCTCTAAACATTCAAAATTGTGTTTAGGTCGGATAGACCAACTGTTGTTTTTGAACTTTGAACAAATCTATTCTGAACATACATAGTCAATCATTGTCGATGAGCAATCGATGTCTGTTTACCGTGCCTCATTCTATTTGTATTACTTATGGTTATCCGTATAAATATGGTTTGTAAATTTAATCAACTAACTAACTTTCGCAAATATATTGAATTCTTCTTAAGATAATTTTACGAGAAAAAAAATGTGCATTCGTCCGAATAGCGAAGGGTGCGGGTTCGAGTCCCGTCTGCTGCCTGGTATACGTGAATTTTTTCTAGTAAAATTTTCTTAATATTTAAACATCTAGCAGTTAAATGCTTAAAAATATAACTATATTGGTGTCAATTCTGGCATGATTCTGGAATCCTAAACTTACATTTGACAACAGTGTTTGTCTGTTATTCTATATAGAGAGTGAAAAAGAGAGAGTGATGTTAAATTTAGTTTCAAGTTAAGAAAATCACACCAGAATCGACACCATTGAGTACTTATTTCTTTTATACCTAACTAAGGTTCAGTATCCCAAAAAAAAAAGAATTCCAAGGAAGGAAAGAACCTAAGAAACAAATAATATAAGGAATATTTACGTATCTGTCAGTCCGTGTGAAAATTATGTGTATCAAAGGGCTCATTGTGAGAAATTAATATAGGTATTTCTAGTTTTAAACATGGCCCGTTTTCTCATTCCATACATAGGGAAGGTCTGTGCCTCAGCAGTTGGAACCTTAATAAGCTGGTGATGAGAATGATAAGGAGTTTCTAATATATTACTGTACCTACTTCTTTATAATCTTGAATAAAATTAACACCCATTAATTTCGCAGTGTCTTTCATATCTTTAATTAGCCTTATTATGAATACCTACATCGCAGTTTCTGTATATTAAGTGTAAAAATATCTTATGGATACCATTGGCAATTCATTCTTAATTATTCATTCATGTACATATTCTTATAACAACCGACAGTTCATTTCGGAGGCAAAAAAAAATTGAGCATCAAAGAGGTTGAGTAAGTCGCCGCTTTCTCGGTTTGTAAGAGACAAATCGCTGACAGATTCACCTTAACTTACTCGCGTGCGAATTTCGGCGTCTTTAATAGGCTTCACGCTGTGAATTGATAAAGTGCCGATCAAAGAAGCCGCGGCTAACAGTAGTGAACTCGAGGAGCGAGAGTCAGGAGGAATGACCGCTAAAGTTGTCTGTTGCCGATGAACGAATAGCGCGGTCAAGTACGTATGTGAAGATAAGCAAAAACTCTATAGTGATTGGCTTTTGATTTCCAAAATGGTTTACTAGCAACAAACTACATGGTATGTTGCGAGGATAACGGATCAATAATATCAAAACAAGTGAAGTCACTAAACGCTTTGAAGTTATTTTTATAAATAAGAGAATATACCTAGTTAATTACCGAAAAAGATATATACACACAAAATATGCGTACCAATATTAATATCACTTCAACTGACAGCTACCATTCAACTTATGATTCACAGTCTCTAAAATTTATAATTTCAAATTCCTAGAAGTACATAGTTCATTCATCAATGACGATGACTCAAGGTGATTATCAAGAAGCCACTTGAACCTTCTATTTTGAGCGTATTATTTGTTTATAAAATAGCTGTCGGTCGTAAATATTACGGCGTGTAAAGATAAAACCAAAAATCCTATTCTAATTATTAGTCATTATAAATACTTACAAATAGGAGTCACATATTTAACTTTTTTTCATTTATTAAATCACAATATAGATGGATACCCTTAGACATTATCGGCACATTTTGCTTTTACCGTGGAGAATTATATAGATTTTTCATTATTCTGAGTGACTTCTGTAGTACCTAAATTCTGAGAAGTAAGAAAAGAAAATATTGATTTACGGCTAGCAACACACCCCGCATAGCAATGAGAGTTTTATAAGTAAGCAGTAATAAATTTTAATACGAAAATACCATACCAATTTCTGAACATTATAATAAAATATTTTCTAAAAAAATCATGCAAACCTCGTCCAGTCCATAAATAATACAATAAAAAATAAGCTTACCCATTTTGTCAGTCAGTATTACGCGAATAGATAAAGAAACAATTTTCTTTAGAGATGAAAGAGTAAATGTTTTCAAACATGAAGCAGTTTAGCATTTAAATAGTTTCAAATGTAGTTTCATTTAGAAGTGTGACAAAGGTGACAAATAAAAATTACATAGATTGTAAAATAATTATAATTACTTACTGGTGTCGATTCAGGCATGATTTACTAAACCTAAACTTAAATTTGACAACAGTGTATCCTAGTCATTCTCTATACTGAATGAAAAGGAGCGACTGATGATAAATTTAGTTTAAAGTTTAGGGCATCACGCCAGAATCGACACCACTGTTATACTATGTATGAACAGGACATGTAGTCTTATACCCCTTTTGACCTTTAAAGCTAATGATGTGTAAACCTCTATCTATCCCTATCTGGCTTTAAGCAACCGATAAAGATGGAATGGTGTGTAAACAGGATTAAGCCTTAAATTGAATTATGAATGTTGGTGCTAGTGATCCTAAATTGGTATTATAGTGTTGTTAAAAACAGTGGTCTGGTCACAGGTTAGGCCTGACTCATGACGGGGAAGGCCAGTGTGAAAAGGAGTCTCTGCGAGGATCAGTGATGTCACCAACCGTTCTTGCTACACTCCAGAAGTACGCGTGGTCTTCCTGTTCTAAGGAGCAGTTCCATGAGAAGTCTAAGTGAGTTAAATTATTTAAGGCACTAGGATAACAGAAGAGAGGTGGGTTATAGCTAAATTTTCTGTTTCAATTTGAGCACCCGTCTAGGGTAGTAAGTAAGCTTCCTCCTTACAGAAGAATCAGAATCTTTGGATTTTGTTGTGTTTATATCGGTGAGTAAAGTTCGAAATAAAACATTCATTAAATATGGGTTGATTTAGAAAATCAGGCATGATTTTCTAAATAAGAAACAATTAAAAAGAGGGCACTCTTTATAGTTGATTTTAATATTCAGTTGTTTTTTTCTTATCATGGCAGACAGTTAAATATTTGACATGACAAGTACGATTAAATACGAAAGATCTTTATGTATATCCTCATGTCAAGCCAGAAAAGATTTCCGATTGAATCCCGAGGAATCTTCGTATTCTTAGAAATTGGGAAAATCCGTTTTATTTATAGGTCAGAAGTTCGATAAATAGATTTATAGAACATATTATTAATTTTTGCTGTCTGCTTAACACTGCCCCTGATATAATTCAGAAATAAAATAATGAGAAAATGTATATCAGTATATGAAAACAATAAAAATTGAAAATAAAGAAATATGACTAAGCAATTTTGGTTTATTTTGAATGCGTTAAAAGCAGAATTTTACAAGTCGGTTAAAAAAAATGTGCCATTGAACAGTTCATAAAAATACTTTTAATAATTTATTTTATTTTTATTTATATAACGCATATTATACAGTTTGAAACTGACGTCAGTTTTTTTAAACCCACAAAGACGTAATATATGTATCTCATTTTTATTTAATTCCAATAGGATGATACAAGTTAAAATCCTCCTTTTTTAAAGAAGGTTTATTGAAATAGTAAATTAATTATTTAAAGACTAACTTAATTTTTAATTGATAAAATAAAAACAAAATATAGTACAATTTGAAGTGTACTTAAATTATAAAGATTAAGTAATATAATTCATAAATTCCTTTGACAAAACAATTTAAGGTGAGATAAATAATGTACGAGTCTTTGATCTAAAGCTTTCAACCATTTGACTTTCATGAGTGTGGGTTACACGAAAATTACTGATACAATTTGTAGCCTGTTTAAAATTATTCAAGTACAATGACAAAGCGTTTTGAGACTCAGTGCTTATTAAATTTCACTTTTCGAGGTGGAAAATTATTAAGCTAGTAATATACCTAAGTCATTTAGGCTCCATAAAATTTTCTATATAGTCTCAGTTATAATATACCTATGTAATAATCGTTTAGTTCACTTGAAAACATTAAATTCCGACCACTATCTTGAATATACTTTCAAATGCAATGTAGCTCTACTATCTATCCATACTAATATTATAATTGTGAAAGTGTGTCTGTCTGTTACCTCTTCACGTTTAGACTGCTGATACGATTTCGGTGAAATTTGGTATATAGATAGTTAGAGTCCTGGGAAAAAACGTACGATATTTTTTATCCCAGAAATCATCCTTTATGGGAGTACAAAAGGCCACCACGAATTTGTAATCATCTTCTTTCGACCACTCGCAATTATGTAAATTGGGAAAATATATCATACTTTTTCCTAAAGTGTATGCTTTAATCAATGTTGAATAAATGTTAGTTTTATCAATCAATCTATACTTTAAAACTCAACTAATCTTCAAAGATGATGTCGTGAAATCGTCTGTGCAAATCAATGGTCGATAATATTATTAAACGCAGAGGTTATTGCATAATACAAAGAAAAGTTATTTAAATTATTCCAAAGGCCCTCCGAGCCCATAAAATTAACCAATTAGCATGCTAAGAGGCAATCCCGTCGAATGATTCGGAAGCATTCTTTCTTCATTGGTTACTTGTTCCTGAATAAATTAAACCTTGAAGCGCATTTTGTACAAGACTTTAAGTGATGAAAACCATCGATTAAGGTCAGTTGTGTTGACTGTGAGTTTTTTTACTAATTCGTACGAGCTTTCTCGAATATGAGGAGCATAATTCTAGTGAAAACCAGGTGAGAATAAGGGTCTATATTGTGCTATTACGTATATGATTCTTCATCCAAGTATTGCTACAAAGTTCCCACGATCGACTTCAGACTAAAATAAAATGTCAGGGTAAAATAATATTTTATTATCTTCCGATTTTAATATGCATGAATTTAAAGTTCAATCGGGTACCGGTAAGTCGGTCAAATTTTAAACTTGGCAAAAATTGATTTCTTATAGGCACCGAAGCAGATGTAATAATTAAATAAAAGCTTGCTAAAAATGTATGTGTACGAAAGATGTTCCCGAAATATTAGTTGCAAAAAAAGGACTTTTAAACATTATGATGTCTTTCAAAGAAAATATACGTTAGTTAATAAAACAGTATCTTTTTTACTATAGGAAGTGGTGGTGTCTCCATGAGAGAAGTCAAGACGATGGTGTGGAGTTAGGGGGAGCCAAGGAGGTTTCGAACTATGTCTTCACTATGGACGAACAATGCAGAACTGAATTTGGTGAAGGGTAAGTTATTTTGCTTACGGTAGAATTTAGTGACGGCAATAGGCTAGTTGACTCATGTCGAATTGTATTAAATAAATGTTTATTTCATAAAGTATTTGGTCTAAGGAACCTAAATATATCAATTTCACTTCATAAAAGCAGAAGATTGCTGTAGAAATTTAATTTAAAAAAATATTTTTTAGTCTATATTTTTTAAACACTAAAAACGCTGTTCGCCACATCCGCCATGATTGTGACGTCTCATATGGTAAACAACTAAATGTCATTCGCGTGTTATTGTGGGTGGATTCTTTCGTCTGACTAAATTTATCATAAAAACACTTTTAACTTTAGAAAAATTTCCGTTTACTCTATTTTTTTGAAAAAACTAATTATGGATGCCGGCTTTGTGAAAACAGAAAGCACAAATCTGCCAAGAATTGACGTATTCATGGTTGGTGAATTTATTTCACTAAACCGCGATTTCTGCTCTGCGGAGCAGAGAAACGACAAGGCATCTATGTAAGTACAGTGTATTTAGTATTACAATGTACACACATCAAAAGTGTCTAGGGATCAAGCATTTTTATGCGGATTTCTTGAGATTGAGATGTGGCTTTGTAATAAATTTATGATTTTATAAATTTATATGGATCCTTTTTGGTGCATTTCATAATTTGAATCAGGAACTGTGAATCAAATTCGAGTAAAAGATGAAAATCAGCTGTCAATATTTTCCCTATAAAAACATACAACGCATTGAAGACATTATTAGTGCTACTGTTTCCCTACTACTGATTAAAACCAACGTTATTATGGAGCGGCGACGTCATTTAAGCAGGGAAGAAATGCTCAGAGCCGTGGGAATGAAAGAAGCTGGTTCCCGGCAACGTACTGTGGCTTTAGCTCTGAATACAAGTCAGAGTGTTATCAGTCGACTTTGGACACGATACCGAAGCACTGGTACCGTGGCTGAGCGCCATGGAGGACGGTATCGCTGCACCACACGGAGACAAGACCGATACATTCAAATCTTAACTCGAAGAGCTCCAACAATAACCGCCATGATGTTAGCCGTGAGGCTTCATCACTCTTCAGGGAACTTAATTAGCGACCAAACAGTCAGAAACCGCTTGCATGAAGTGAACCTTCATTCCCGAAGACCGCTACGGGTACCACCTATAGCAATGCACAATCGTAGGATTCGATATCAATGGGCTCTTGAACACAGAAATTGGGCAGAAGAACAATGGCGTTTCGTGTGCTTTTCTGATGAGTCTCGTTTTGGTATGAGACCGGATACAAGACGTATACGACACTGGAGAACCCCTGGACGCCAACAGCGATTAAAATCCTGCCAGGAAGTCCATCCTTATAGTGGTGGAACCATCATGGTATGGGCGGGTATTTGGATCGGCGGAAGAACTGAGTTGATTTGGATCAGAGGCAACCTCAACGCTCAAATTTATGCTGAGACGATTGTATCAGACGTCATCGTTCCTCTACAAGTGCAAATCGGTCCCTTATTTCAGTTAATGCATGATAATGCACGACCGCACACCGCAAGAGTTGTAAGACAGACTCTCGCCGCAGCTAACATCAATGTCCTGCCCTGGCCTGCTCAGTCGCCAGACTTGAACCCGATTGAGCATGCATGGGATATGCTACAGAGAAGAGCTCTGCCGAATATGGAGGGTATCCAGTCGCAAGAAGGCCTTTTTTTGTTGTTGCAACGAACATGGGCGGCCATTCCACAGCGTGATTTGGATGAACTCATTTTGAGTATGCCAAACCGATGTTCTTGTGTTGTTAGTGTTCGCGGTAGAAATACGGATTATTAATTGTTTAAGTTACCCAATAAAATTTTAGAGAAAACTGTTATTTCAGTCTTTTTTTCGAACTTTTGTGTTAGTGGTTCAAATGTCAAAAATCCCTTTATTAGGAAAATGGCAAATTTCTTTATTAATGCAAAGGTGACTTGGTTTATCGTTACTGTGACAAACGAAAACACTTTATTTGATGAATCCTTAAAGAAAATTTTAATTAATATCAATCAGGAGAAAAGTTATTGCAAAAATATATGTTGATCCCTAGACACTTTTGATGTGTGTAGTAATAAACATAAAACTGATACAACATATGAATAAGTGTAATAAAGTTGCGTAGGTTAATTTCTTTCGGCACTTTTAATTCACAACTTTCCTGGAATCTTCAAGGATGTGTTTTTATATTCTCGTACAATACAATAATGATAATTACTTTAGTTTTCGGGGTATTTATTAGAAATCATCTTTTGTTTATTATAAAGTCAGTTATTTTCTTACGAGTTTTTGTTTATTTACCTTTCTCTATGTGTTTACTGCAGTTAACGTCATAGCATAGATAATCTATAGACTAAAATGGCCGATAGCGTTTTTGTATGTCCATGAAAAATCTATTTTAAAATTAAAGATTTGTAGCTTTTCAGGTCTCAAAAAAATACAATACATTTTTTTTCGGTCTAATAGAACATTTATTAACCATTTAAAACCTTTTTCCAAAAAGGGTCAACTAGCCTATTAAATTTATTGATTATTATCAAAGTGATACGTTTTTTGTATTGTTGTCGCAAATATTTTGTTTAACTGATGATGATTTGATGAATGATGAAGCCAAACACAGTACTCACCATTGCTGCATTTGAATGTAGGGAGGAAAACTGTAGGATAATTGTACTGTTTTTGCATAAAAAATATAGTCGGAAGATACTTAGAATTATAACAGTACAATTTATTAATATAAATACCAAGCTCTTATAAATGCACTTGGCTATTCTACTTAAAATATTATTATTCTTATGTTTAGTTCCGGTAACGCAGGGACTGTTGTTATCATAAAAAGTAAAAAAAAGTATAAAATGTACTTTTTTTGTTATTTGACTTTAGAAGGTAATATTTTATATTATATCAGAGAATAATTACAAGAACTTACCTCATTTTGATGTTGAATTAAAAAAAAACCATGCGGACCAGGCAGCAGATGGGACTCCGGGCGAATGCTACCGCAGCCCTGATGGCCGTGTCGAATTCTCCCTAGCCTTTCTTAAGCTGCAAGGCAGCTTTAGAAAGGTTTAGATTTAAACATCTAGCAGTTACATGCTTAAATAAAAAAAAATGTCGTAAATGCAGTAATCAGGTTATATTTTATTATTATTGAGCATTAGCACACATTACGATATTATATTCACTACGTCTACAACCACTCATATCAACAAATTAAACCATTTTTTGTGTATATTTTTAATCAAAATTTACTCCAGCTTTTAGACATCGAAAAGTAGAATGGCCCATTATTGATCGTTTGTTTTTTAGCGATTGTTAAAATTAACATAACTAGTGCGTAATTGTTGTTTTGTTATATATTATTAATACTATATTTATAAAACAATGTTTAAGAGTATTTCTAGATTAAGATTAGTTAAAGTAAAAAAGAAATCATTTGCACTGCAAATAACTTATTATCTCATCTCTAGATGTAAGGACCTGTAATTGGCTCTTTGTCGCGACTATTAATTTCTAGTTTGTTAAGATACGCTGTTGGTCTTCCAGGTAACCAAAATAAATAAAAATCGAAAATGTAACTAAATAGTTCGAAGTAATATGCGGTTCATGATTTAGAAGTCGGGCAGGGTCAATATTGAATCACATATTTACCGATTAGAAATGAAAATCTATTCCATGTTTCAATCTTGGCCCCGCCCGATTTGCAAATCATGAATCACCTAAATACTTCTTATTTTTTAGTTCTATTTCAGATTATGAAGTCGTTCTAATTTTTTGTTTAAATATATTTTTTATTTCATCCATTTTAGTGAAAATTTCATCGTCCAAGTAAACAATAAACAAAAATGTTCATAAAATAAAAATTACTGTATAAAGCTCAATATTTTTTACAACCAAACAGCAAGAACCTCCCATAGAGCAAAAAATAATCACTCTTATCTGATCAGAAATCTTGAAGTATAAGCAAAGTATTGTGAAAATTACATCGTCCAAGTAACAAAAAGCTTATAAAATGAAAATTACTAGACCACACTGGATTAAATTTTTATAGGCAACTATTTCGCATGAAACAATAAAAGAATCATGTAAATCGTATAAAATAATAAAAAAAAACTCCCCCTGGAATCGATTAAAAATAAAAATATAAGTTCCTCTTTCGTTGAAGATACAATTTGTCAAGGGCAGCCTTAGGACCGGCAGATAATATTTTTATGTCAAATTTGATAAATATATATATATAAATATTAAGTATATCGTAATAATATATATTGATATAATCACAAACACGCTTTTGTTGCTTGTTAGCGCAGAATTGAGGCTCTAGTAAGCAATCACTGAATTGTATCGAAGATTACTTACTTCGCTGGCTCAGCGATCCAAAATGAGTCTTGGCTTCGTAATATATTAAGGGATTGTAGTCGACCACACAAAGTTCTCCGAGATCTGTTTCCCCATCTGTAGATCGGACCTTCGAATGTACACGTGTGGGTAACGAAGATTACAATTACAATATGTTTAATAATTATGTTACCGTTATCCTTTGCATAATCTTTGATATTTACCAAAGTTTTGATACGACACGCAAATGCAAAGCAAGTAAAAAAAAATATTACAAACGCAATTAATCCAATTTACACAAATATTAATTCCTGTTTTATTTTGAGAAGAAACATTCAGCTCGAATCTGAACCCATTTCATCAAACTCTAAAAGAAGAAGTAATAAATATTAGTTGTAATTTTTATATTCGTCTAAAGAATTGAATAAATAATCTCCGAAGATCTCAGAAGTAAAGACCATTTGTGATTGATATTTTTCTCGTTACAATATTAAATGTAATGTAATGTTCGTTAATAATCTTACTTTAGGGCTACAATCTTTTGTAAAATGGAGGATTCTTCTTATGATTCGCTAAACATACTTCAGCTTTCCTTCCTGATAAAGGTTTAAGTTTAAGAGAAGTGAGGCATGGGGGATTTTC